CACCTTGTTTAATTTATGCTGGGAACTGAAGCGGGTACCGGTAGACTGGTGCAAAGCCGTGATAGTCCCAGTATATAAAAGAAGAGGGTCGCAGCAGGACTGTAAAAACTACCGTGGCATCAGCCTTCTTAGCATTGTGGGAAAACTGTATGCTAAGGTACTGATTGAAAGGGTCATGAAAGAAACTGATGGAAAAATTTGGGATGTGCAAGCGGGATTTAGAAAGGGAATGGGATGTACAGATCAAGTCTTTTCCATGCGCATGATCGCGGAGAAGTTTCTGGCCAAAAACAAAAAGGTTTTTTGTGCGTTCATGGATTTGGAAAGGGCCTATGACAGAGTGGATAGGGATTTGCTATGGCAAACACTGAACTCATTTGGGTTGAGCGCTGGCTTGATACAGGCATTGCAGTCGCTTTATAGGGACTCTAGTGCTTGTGTTAGGATCAACGGGGTCTACTCGGACTGGTTTGACATCCATAAAGGTGTCAGACAGGGCTGTGCGGCTTCCCCGTGGCTGTTCAACCTATTTATGGACAGCTGTTAGCAAAATTTAAAAGTTGAAGAATGCGGATTATGAATGGGTGAGTTAACCGTCAAATGCCGTTTGTACGCCGATGATCAAGTTATTATTGCGTCGTCGGCGGCCGAGTTGCAAATGATGGTTACATTAATGAACGGACCATTAAAAGAAAAGGGTATGAAAGTGAACGCAAGTAAGACGAAGGTTATGGTTTTTGAAAGAGAAGAAAGTAAAACGATTTGTGAAATAAGAATAGAAGGGGGAGTTGATCGAGCAAGTAGATGAGTTTGTATACTTGGGCTGCGTATTTAGCAGGGATGGGAGATATGATAAAGATATAGAACGACGAGTGAATGCGGGAAATGGAGTAAATGGGGCCTTGCACTCAACTGTGAAGAGTCAAAATGTGTCGAAAACGGCACGTATGGCAATTCACAATGCTGTGTTGGTCCCTACTTTAACGTATGGTAGTGAAAGTTGGGTGTGGCGGAAGAAGCACGAGAGTAGAATAAACGCATTAGAAATGCGGTCGTTAAGGAGTATGTTAGGGCTGAATCTGAGTGACAGGGTGAGAAATTGTGTAATAAGAAAAGAGTGTAGTTTGCAAGATGATGTTGTGACGAGGATTAAGAAAGGAATGCTTTGGTGGTTTGGTCATGTGGAAAGAATGAATGAGGAAAGAGTGACAAAGAAAATCTATGGTGCAGAAGTGAATGGCAGAGTCGGAAAGGGACGTCCTAGGCGAAAATTTATCGACCAAATTGGCGATTTATTGAAAACGGGCCAAATTAGGAGTAAGCTTAACCGACGAGCATGTATACGTAGGTGTATGGATGTGAAGGAGGCGAGAGAGGTGTGTCAGGATCGTGCCAAATGGAAGTCTGTAGTCTCTGCCTACCCCTCTGGGTGACAGGCGTGAGTGTTTATGTATATGTATGTATGTAACTAGATGAGCTGTGAATTTTTGATGCTTTCTGATCTTTTTCAATATTATCTGGTGTACGTTTGGGCAAAAAGCGTTTATTTTATATTTTTGTATATTTGATTAAAAATAATATATTAATGTGCTGCTGAAAGCATAGGTAGTACTGTTTTGTAATATAACTAAATATACTGAGAATTACAGTGAAATACAGCTTTTTTGAATAAACAAACTTAAATAAGTATTTAATACATTACGGTCGAATTTCGATCACTGGAAACCCCTAGTATAATAATTAATTAGTTCAAAGAAATTTATTCAAAATCCGCCACTGGAGTAGCAAGCGTAGGTCATTGATTTACATATTAACACCATGGCGTAGATACTCTTTCTAGCATAATCCTTACCAAGACGAGAGATACAAAAAATTAAAGTCTTTATACGCCCGTTCGTGAGATTCTTTTATTTCTGATAGGATTTTAGGACAAAGAAGCGCCCCAGTGCGGGTTTGCGGAATTCACATACCTTCGAAATATTTCTTTTTATAGTATCTCAGACATGCTGGTTTTCTCACGATGTTTTCCTTCACCACCGAGCACGTGTTAAATCAGCACTTAAAATTGCAATTAACAATTTTATCCGTGCCAGCGGGGAACAAACCTGAGTAACTTTTGCATTTGAACAACTACGGCAAATAAGAAAATAAATAATAAACGCCCTCTTTTGACAAATTTGGAAACAACGAAGAAATAACCAAGGCTTACTCTCATACTAGTTTTTCTGCTCCGCCATAGATGGCACTTTCACAAAGTTTTCTAAATCTTCAATTTAAAGTAAAATGTAAGCGTATTAAATTAAAAAAGTAGGTATGTTATTACTGAGCGTATAATAAACTATCTGAAAATCCATTTTATCTTTGACTTGTACTTAATAAAAATTACTTACCGTACTAAATCAAGTTTGACTTTCCATTATTTGCACAATAGATGGCACAGTATACAATATTTTTAATTTTTAATTTCTCAGAATTTAGAAAGTAAAACATAAGATATTCAACAAATTATTTTTATTTGACTGATAGTCATACTATGGTTAATATTATATGAAAAAATATTTTATACTTATTAAAATAAAATAACGATAAAAGATTAAAGAAACGATATATCTCCCATTTCAGTTTCTGTCAGTCGCCTTCCGTGAAACCCATGGAGTGCATATTACACCACCATTCAATGCGAAATTTTATTTATACAATTTTAAATTATATTATTTAATATAGAATAAGGGTGACAAGCGACCGCACAGTTCACCGGATGCTAAATGAATATTCTTGTGGCCCATAGACATCTACATCTATCCTCGATTACGAATCAAAATACAGATGCGTTGTCACCCCTGTGATCTAAGATGGAAAGCCTCATTTCCATCAATAAAAAGGGTCTCCGGTTCTCTAGACTCACCATACGAAACAGCATTGTTCTGCTATTTTTGTGTTCTGTGAGAGAGTGGATCTACCACGTAATTAATGCATCAAAATATATGACAGAGATCAGAGATATTTACCGATTAAACGAACAGTCAGAACATATAAGTGTAAATTAGTATATTCTTTCTTCCACAAGTACTATTTTCAATAAAAGACAATTCGACGGCCGTTTTGGTTTAATGCATACCATTTAAAAAGGCGCCTTTCCTATTGTTATTTTTATTTTTATTTCCATATACATCACGCCTGAAATCTTTGAGGGTATAGGTAGAGACCAAAGACCAGCGAACCATTTGATCCACATTTAGCGACAAATATAAGTATAGATAGAAAATTTAAATGAGGTGATAGGTGACTAGCCAAAGCTTCATTTTTATTACTTGGGAATGAAAAACCAAAAAAATTGTTTTGCTTATCATACAACACGCTACATAAGAATCATATTTTGCAAACCATACCTTACTGAAATATACCAAATCGTAAAATTAAAATGTAATATTTTAAATATATTAACTTCCCGCTAATAAAATTAAATTTTTCAAAAATAGGGTAGTTATTGGTTCCACATCGATTGAGATGCGGTTTGCGGCGTTCTAAAGATCTTAATGTGGATTAGATTTGGTGGATTTTGTTTTTTGTGCGTTTGAGTGAGACCTCGGATGGTTTAGATTTATATTTGGAACTTGTAGATGGCGCTGTTGTCGAAATTTCGAAATCACCCGATCTTATTGGGAGTACCGTTCGTTACAATCCTAAGAGGCGTCACTGTAAGAGGACTAAGCTGAAGCTGTAAGCTGCTATTTCGTACATAATTAACTTGAATAAAGTGCGAAGCCGAATCAGATCGCTAGTGTTGTTTATATACTGGTTCGAGCTGATGGTACTTTTTAAGCGGATATTCTGCGCCAGTGTTATCCTTCTCGAAACCGATCCATTAGTACTACAGCCATAACATGATTTTCCTTGGTGATATCAATTAAAAAGATTTGGAAAGGCTTTGAAGAATTTAATCTTAGTCCTCAAATATGAAAACGTATTTTATCTAAGTTGATGTGACGAAATAACTTACAGTTTACCTGATGCTAACTTATTTTTATAGAAGAAGGGGCAAACTAGCATGCGTCTCACCTGATGGTAAGTGACTACCGCCGTCCATGAACAAACGCAACACCAAGGGAACAGATGCGTTGCCGGCCCTTTAGAAAGGAGTAGGCTCTTTTCTTGAAGGTCCCTAAGTCGTATCGGCCTGGAAAAGTCGCCGGTGGTAAACAATTCCACAGAGAAGTTGTACGAGGAAGAAAACTCCTAGTTAAACGTACAGTAGTGAATCGCCAAGCATCCAAATGGTGATAATAGTATCGGGAATTTGGACGCGATATGCGTTCGTGAAATTTGGCGGCTTGAACTAATCCGAACTATCCCTGAGAACACTCCCAGTGGTAGATACGATAGAAAACGCAAAAGGCACTGCGCGGTGCCAGTAAGTGGCAACTGCACCCCATGGACACCAGTAATCAACTTCAAACAAAGAACTAAGGATTAAGATGAGTTGTCACCTCTATACCCTTTAAGCTGGATACAGCAGTGTATGAGTTTTTGACGGCAGAATTAGGTAATAAAGTAGAAACTAGCCAGGCGGACTTCTAGGTAGATAAGAATTCCTTACACCTGGTTTAAATCCAACGACGGTGTTCGTGGTCAAGATGGTTACTGTTGCCACTAAACATCAGGTGGACGGTTATCTCGATTTTCACCCTGATATAAAAATATTATTAAAACAACCATGAAAAATGTTTTAGCCCTTTCGAGAAATCGATGAAATTCCGGTTTTTTTAAGTTGATTAAAATAAATGCTTACATAATAAAAACTACTAACCTGTTACAAGTAAAAAAAGTATACTAAATTTGAATGAAAATCCGAATCGTTTCATACTTATTACTATTCCTATAAATAATACTCAATTGCTTGCTCCTATCGGCACGGAGAAATAAAGTTTATGAGTTCTAAAATATATTATGTTCGTTTTCCTAAGGTTGATTTATGTAGCGTAAGAAATTTCTTACATGTGATGCATTTCATTCCTTATTTCTATTACATCGTATTTAATACTTTCTTTTACTTAATATGTGATGCAGTTAATAATGATGAGACTGAGGATTTATCGGCAAATGACATAGCTGAAACGCTTATTAGAGTATTTGGTGCTGATTTGGAAAGTTCTAGAATAACAGAATTAAAAGATAAATTGAAGAAAATAGATAGTTATGTCATCGATAAAAATAAATACACAGAACTACTTAAGAATATAACTACTGAAACTGATTTAAATCAAACTAACTTCTTTACAGCATTGTATAAAAGAGACAATTTTAATTTTCTTTTCAATAATAATACGAAAAATTTATATTTAAAGCTTAAACAAAATATCAATAGAGACGATATCGTTAAAATATTATCTGAAAAGGGAAATACAAGTAATTTATTTAAATCAGCAAGGAAAGCGATTGGAATTGATTACTTGAACAGAGGTGGTGATGATAGTGAAAGCGACACTATGTTTGACACGATTGTTGATGAATTTATCGCTGAATCTCCAAAGGATAAACACAAACATGATTTAAAAGATAATGAGAACATTTATTGGGGTAAGACGTAGTAAAGTAAATTATTTAAAACTGGAAACCCACTCCACCCTCGCTTCGTCTAGCCTGGAATACTATTCAGTTCTGTGGTCACTTGGAAGGGGACGCCAAATTGGATACCAATTTGGCGTTCGTTTAAAAAGCTTGGCGTGCTTTATAGAGCAAGACAGTATTTCATGCAGGCACACCGTTTTTAGGGTTCCGTAGTCAACTAGGAACCCTTATAGTTTCGCCATGTCTGTCTGTACGTCTGTCCGTCCTCGCTTAATCTCTGTGACCGTTAGCACTAGAAAGCTGAAATTTAGTACCAATATGTGTATCAATCACGCCGACAAAGTGGTAAAATAAAAATTGGAAAAAAATGTTTTATTAGGGTAGCCCCCTATATGTAAAGTGGGAAGTGATTTTTTTTTAATTTCAACCCTAACGTGTGATATATTGTTGGAAAGGTATTTAAAAATGAATAGGGGTTTACTAAAATCATTTTTTGATAATGTCAATAATTTCGAAAATAATCGCTCCAAAAGTAAAAAACAATGTGTCCCCCCCCCTCTAACTTTTGAACCATAAGTTTAGAAAATATGAAAAAAATCTGAAAAGTAGAACTTTATAAGGACTTTCTAGGAAAATCATTTTGAACTTGGATGGAAACAACAGTACCCACTACTGGGAGCTGTTGCAGGAGCGCGGAGCGCTGCTGGAGCGCGAAAATAATGGATACCCACCTTTAAACTCATAAGTGGGAACACTTATTGCAACGTACGGGAAACTACGGAACCCTACACTGAGCGTGGCCCGACACGCTCTTGGCCGGTTTTTTTTAACTTTATAAGGCAACTTGCTCACATGGCATACTGTTCTCATCTCTAGGTCGGGACTGCAATGCCAGAGACCAGAGACCGATTTCTTTCTGATCGGCTTAACTCACTGGCGCTGCGAAGAGATGTCGTATTTTTTTACATATTCTATCTCATCTACCACGGGGAGTGCTCAGAGTAATTGTTCAGACTGCCGTGCCCTACGCAAAATTTCACAGTCGCACATCGTGAAAAATCGTGAAACTATCCGTACCATCTGAATCATTGTGGTCCACCACTCTGCAATTTACGAGAAGTGTTTTTCCTCGTACAACTTAGTTGTGGAATCGACTACCAACAGCGATTTTTCCGGACCGATTTGACTTAGGGACCTTCAAGAAAAAGATCCCGCTCTTTTTAAAAGTCTGGCAATGTATTGGCAATTAAACTGGTGTTGCAGTTGTTTATGGACGGCAGTAGGTACTTACCGTCAGGTGAGCCGCATGCTCGTTTGCTCATTCTCATTTTATATAAAAAAATAATGTGGCGTCATTTAGATATGAAATAATTATCATAGACCACATTTCGATTTTACCAAAATCTCCAAGTTTTTCGGGTGAAATTATAGCATTGATCACCACACTCGGTTCAGCCATTCCAAAGGTTAGTTTTGACACACAGCCAGTTAAAAATTTTAAAATTAAAAAAAAATAGTTTTAATGGCATATTAAGCAAAACGTTAGTCAGTAATTACGAAAGTCTTAGTATAGTAGGCGAGGTTCCGGTTAATATGGTCACTTTCTTATAGTTCAAAAACTACAGCCTTGTTTAAATAGATGGCTTTGTGACACGATAGTTCTTCATCGGTCAATCAAATAATAAAGGGTCAAAAAGGCGCTGCTTTATCTACGTCATTTTGACAGTTGACATTATAGTAAATATTTTATTCGATTTTATTATGTTGTAGTGTAGTTATTTTTTTTAAGTTGATTTTTCCAAGTGTTCCTAATTATTGCCAAAGCTTGTTTGCTATTTTTTTCTTAATATATTAGTTATAGCATACGACTTTCGTGTTTTTGTCTCTGTCCTCCTCCTAGTTTTTGTTTTATTGGGTAGCAAAGCATAAGGTGACTTTATAACCCTCACCCATCTTATTAAAATTTTGGTAAAAAAACTATCACCATTTCTAATTGATGTATACCCGTACATTATTCTTGATTTACATTTCTAAGCTCCGAGTCCTGCGAATATTGAGGGAGTCATCTGGCATAATTTCGTGGACTTAGCACGTTTTACAAATAATGCCACTTGAAATAACGTTTAATAATTTGAACGTATATGTAAGTACGAGCACTGCAGCGTTAATACATTGCGCATTTAGCGATAGTCAATTCTCCGCAACTCCTTCAGTCGACAGCAAACGGGCAAAAAGAATAGTTCTGTCCTTTTAAACCATGAAAGTTGTTTTCGACAATTCCAAACAGATTTTGTTTAATTTGACTAAAAATGCTGTCATTTTTTATGTGTCCAGCATGTCTTGAAGTTTATTTCAGATAAGTGTGTAGCTTTATTTCGTATGTGCTTAAAAACAGTAACTGTAGTAAATGAAAATACAACTGCATGGCATATTTACCGTGTCAGCTACCCGTATGCACCCGCGCATTGTACAGCTGTGACATAGTTTCTGCATTGAAATGCTGTTCTAGTAGTTAACATTGAAGTCTCTGGGTGTTATGTTATTTATAATACACGTATATTAATATATATTTTTATATACGTATAACAATATATTATAGACCCTCAAGGCGAGCTAGAAGATCTTAAAGAGTATCACCAACATGACGGACGGCGTATATTTAAAGGAGAAAGAACAATAATAAAGAACTATCCGTTCATGGTATCAGTGCACGTGATGGGACGGTTCTGGTGCGGAGGCTCACTGTACTGGCATGATTTGGTGCTTACCTCTGCTGCCTGCTTACAGTTGTAAGTACAAGAAACAGAAGAAACGTTAACTGGTAACAACTATGATCATGAAACATATCACCATCACAAGAGCCCATCACAAGTCCCCGGATGAACATACGGTCCTAAGCCACCTGCATCCATCGACTTCCTGCATCACTCCATTGAAGGGACATTCGAGAATCTTTCTTGCCCTTCGGTTATCGATTCTTCGAGCTATTCATATAAACGGTGTAACTTGAGAGGAGGATCATCGGTGGCTAGCGCGGGGGGGGGGGCTTGAAGGACCTCAGTACCTATCGATCTAACTAATCTAATCTTAAATTTAGGCTAAAATCTGATTTTGACAAAATTGTTAATAAAGTCCAAATAACTTTTGAACCACTGAATACCACATTACATACAGGGGTGTAACGCGATATTCAGTGGTTCAAAAGTTATTTGGACTTTATTAAATATTTATCAAAATCAGATTTTAGCCTAAACTTCGCAATTGCAACCAAACTATTGGGTCTGCGACCATGATTTTTTTTTTTAATTTATGTAAAGAGTGCACATTATTAACATTTTAAATTTTGTCAAACTGTAAGCCAATTTTGTCGGCAACGCAACGGTTTATCGTTTTACACTCCTTAATAACAATATCTGGTACTTGTAAATACTTAAATAAACACAAAAATAATTAAAGAAACATTCACCACTATGGACACAACGACAGGTAAATGTTTCCTCAAGATGGATTTGAGCTGAGACTTAGTTACGCTTTCGTCATATATATCCGCTACCTCTTTACACAAATTTGGAGTTATCCATTGCCTTGTACGCCGTCCAAAGTAATTTTCAGCTCTAGGTATGAGATATTTCCTGCTTTGAGTAATATAGTGCTTCGGCATTATATATGTCCTAGGTTTCTTAAATGTTACCATACCATGCTGTTCTAATATGATGATGGATTTTACTTTCATGTCTATGGGAATAATTTTGCAAATTTTAAATAACATTTCATAATTTTTATCTAGATCCTTTTTCGTTTTAGGATCAGCTAATATCTTTAAGACCCTTATCTGTATAGTCTTTATTTTGTTAAGATATGTTGGGAATATAAGTCCATATGCACCTAAGCCATATCCGATCGTTGCTTCTGCTAAGGCATTATACAGCATATACATGATTCCTCGGTTCACAACATATTTTATATGATTCTGTTTACCTAGTACTGTCCTAAACCTGTGTTACACACTAATTCAACATGCAAGTCCCATGAGAAACGATTATCTATAACCAACCCTAAATATTTGTAGTTTCTTACACATTGTCGCTTTTCGCAGCGGCAGAGAGAGCTCAACTGGTCAGTGTGCAGGCTATCGTAAGTGTGACCCATAAGAACTATATCTACTGTTTTTCTAGAACGGTTATAGGGTGATGATATTACCATAAATTTGGTTTTATTCAAGTTCATAATAATGTCATTGTCGTGGGACCACTTTAATAAATTGTTTAAATCCTGCTGCACTTTCAACTGTATCTGGCTTCTATTTTTTCCACTATACACGAGGCAGGTATCGTCAGCGTACAAGTATACAATTCTTGATAACATTTATCATGTTGTTGACGTCCATTATATATCCGATCGGACCAAATACAGAGCCAGTCGGTACACCAAATTTTACTTTTGCTATCCTACTATCCACTCCGTTTACACAAACAAAGATATTTCTATTTTATTAATATTTTTTAAACCAGGTTTTCACGGGACCTCTTATTCCACATTCAATCACTCTTTCCTCTTATTTCAAACAAGATAAACAGAGGGTCTCCTATTTCTTTAAAAGAAATATTTATAAGAAGTCAAAATAAAAAAATATAGTTTTTTTTTTAAATCTAATGTTTGCAATAACTTTCCATGGTTCTAAAACAAATATTTCACATATTATTTTTTCTACAACCTATCTCAAAAGCTACTGGCTTTCATAAAGAACCCCGAAAATTTCATTTGGCTTATGCTGGGAAATAATGTTGAAAAATGTACTTAAATAGTCCAGGTCGATTTTATAAAGATTAAAATTATTTAAAAAAATATAGTTACCACAAAAGTTAGAAGCGCAGGTTTAGTTTGTGAATCGCAGGTGCCTAAAGCACCTGCGCTTCACAAACAGTGGCATTATTTGAACTGCATTTGGAATTTTGTTGAATATTTTAGGAGCTAGTCCGAAAAAGATTTTGTGCATTAAGGCAGTCTTACATTTTAAATTGACTAATTGATTCATGTATTGAGCAAGTATTGGAGTTTTCTTTGAAGTGTGTGAATTTCTTTCACAAAAAGTTCATTTTGTAAAATGTAAAGTGCCGGGAAAATTAACAGTTTTAATGATTTAAAGTAAGGTATAAAACTCTCTGGTGGTTGTAGCCCACATCATATTGATCTAATGCCGCGTTTTCGCAACCTGAGTACTGTCAGTTGATTGTCCAAAAAAAAAATAACACCACATCTAAAAATCGAACATACTCAGCCATAATAAGCTGTCAGAAATATTTCAAAATTCACTTTTTTTGAGGAAAGAATGGATCCAGGTGGTGTGGCGTACCTCGGGTAAGGCCTTTATTTAGCACTAGGCTTTTGGATGGTTGTAATGATGATGATGGCCATGGGCTTTTCTTGTGGTTTGTCTACAATATAGACTTCCTGATGATACTATAATAACTTCACGGCTATGACCTATAACCTATTTTCACCAGGATCATCTCTATTACTAAGTTCAAATATTAGCAAAAACTGTATAAAAAGGGTTATTATAATATTGACAACACCCCTGTGAATAAGGTGGCCGCTTCCAAACTGTTTCTTAAATAATTTTTGTTAGTAGTTTGTTCAACTTTTGTTTTATTGCAAATTTTTGCTTTGAAAACAACGCTCGCTGGGTTTTTTGCTGGGTTTTCCCAGAGTAGTGTTTTTCTCCGAAACAGCTATGATAGTAAAAAATGACTTTCAATAAGAATCACTTGTAATCTATATTATATAAAAATTATTATTCTATTCTATTCATCATAGAGCTCATGACCAGTGCGTGTTGTTTTAGCTATGTTAAACTCTAATTATATTTTTCTAAGTGTCTCTTTCGGGAAGTCCTACCATTGTCTCTCCTATACCTGCAGCAGAGTAGCGTGTTGCCATCTGATAGACCGCCCGTTTCCTTTTTTTAAATTATCGAGATTTACTAATTAAAATTATATAAAGAAATAAACTACTAACTTTTCTTAACTACTTATCATAGGCATATTGAAATTACGTTATAAAGCATGGTCCTGAGCCACATGCATAACGTTATATGTAACGTTATTAATATGATTTGTAACATATAACGTTATTAAGGTAACAGAATTACTAATTTACTGGCGTTGTGTATATATGTATTGAATCATCCATCCATCCATCACACCCTACTGAACTCCACTCCACTGCTGAACACAGGCCTCCCCCATAGATTGCCTTATATGAGTGTTTTTTCCAAAGCTGACACGCTTGGCGGGCGGTTGTCAACCTGATTTTTTTATTATTTTGATTTTTGAGTTTGACAAAATATAATATGCACTACTACTATGTATCTTTACTTTTTCCTTTGCGGGATAGACAGGAAGGATCTTTTTTACTTACTTACTGCTTTTGCTCATTTTTAAGTTGGTAGTTAATGTAGGCCTCATTTAAAGTAGTCATATAATCACATAACATCATACAGTTTCATTCGTGATACTATTGGTTTATGCGGGTTACCCTGAGGATAGTTTAGGGCAATGGCAGTTTACGGAAAGGTTCGTTACGGGCATACATACCTTAAGCGGAAACATGATGTTGCTCATCTCCTGTTTCAATTTACCTCTGTCACCTTTTACGACACCCACGGGATGATATGAGATAGTGGATATTTTTGCACTGCTACCACACGGTGCGGTGTATTGAATAATCCTCATTAACTGCCTCGTTGATCTGGTGGTTGTATGCGCGACCACTGATCTTGAGATCCCGAGTTCGATTCCCGAGTCCAAAATGAATGATTGCATTTTTCGGTCAAGAAATTCTCTGTAGTTATTGGAGTCAGGAAGTAGGTTTTTCACACTCGTGCCGAAGCACGTAAAACGGAACGTCCCGCTCCTGATCTCTGCCCGATCGTGTCGGATTGCCGTCCTAGAAGACTATGAGGCTGAAGGAATTGTGAGTACACCTGTGCTTGCACACAAAATTGTACCCTATAACTCTGTGTTTCTGTAGAATTCAGTCTGCAGGACATTATTATAGTTAGAAGTCAGAAAATTTCTATTTTCGACATAAACACACAAAACTATTGATTTTCTGAACAAATATTTATAATACTATATCCTTCCTATACTAGAGCAAGTGTTGTGATGTTGCAGGCTTGGGATGATGAAAAATATAATAATAACTGATGATATCTCATATGTATTTAGTACAAAACCCAAGCATAACACTGCAATACTTCAAGATATAGTGAGCTCATTCTGTGTAGATTAAACCAAAAGTAACAATCAAAAAAAAGTTGAAAGTACTCCTGGTAAACTTTGTCATGGGTGATGCAAAGCACCAAAAACGTCGGCAGTAAAAACTAAGTAAACTAAACGCGATAAAATCTGTAAATATGGTTTTATTCATATGAACTGTTTAAAATTTAAGGATGCACAACAACCGCTTCTTTCGGGAAAACCCCAATGTTCTTAAAGTAAGGATTGGCAGCAATCACAGCAGAATTGGTGGCGAGATGGTGGACGCACTTGAGGTATTCATTACATCATTATAATACAATCAAAACAAATGTCATTTTCTTTATCAATGACAGTATTTAATCTTAATTTCTAGAAATAATTAATATATAATTTCTAAAAATATTTTTTGTTTCTAGGTATATTTCCACCCTTCATACAATCCACGTACACTGCAAAATAATATCGCCGTGATACGTCTTCGGTATCATCTCTTCTTTAGCTACCATCGCACGCCGAAGATCATCGCTATATCCCACAGTCCTGGTAGTATACCGGATACCGCGGAAGTTTTACTTCTCGGATGGGGAGTTAAAAAGGTACTTTTGTTTTATAAATATACTTTTTGTAAATAGTTTTTTTCTGTATCGTGGAGGCAGTTTACGTATATAAATTTCACAAGGACAAACATTTATTTGTAGGCCATACTGTTACAAGCTTGGGGTTCGTGACAATAAAAACTGCCGATTTAATTACCAAAATTGACACTTTAATTACCGAACACCAATTACAACTTAAAACACACTAATAATTAATCACAATGATCAATATAGTTCGCTGTTATATCGCTTCAAAGTATTCGCTTGAATCGCCAATTCAATACTGCCCTAGGCGCGGTCCTTACTGGCCATATATTGGGCCTTTTCTCATTTTAAAGTATATGGCAAATTTAAAAACATTAGAACCTATACCATTGTACTGGTCTATGCTAGGTTTCTCATCTGGTTGCGCAGTAAAAGATCTACCTTGCCATTTTGTCTAGTAAGTTGTGTTATAAGAGAATATAGAAAATGAGAGAAAAAATGTTTCGCTTTGGCTTTATGGCTTCGCATTATTGGCGGTGTGAGCATCTTGCTTATTCTTCTTGCCCTTATCCCAAGCAGGGCCGGATTTACCTTAAGTACCCTTTTGGGGACCCCCCCCCCCCCGTATCGCCTAACGATTCTAAATTTTTACTGAAAAGATAAAGCTACTCTGTGATTCACTCAATAAGTCATCAGAGGTATTTCGATTAGATTTTTCTGCTAATAATTCTGTTATTATTATTTTAGCATAAAAATCTTTTTAGAAACAAAATTTTTGCTTCAACTTATTTTGAAAATTAATTTAAAAAAATGTGTTATTTTAAGAACGTTATTCAAAGCATAAAAAACTCATAATTCCAAAATTTTTGTCACTTATTTGACAACAATAAAGCACTTCGTTGCAGAAGAAATTATTGAATAGAAAACGTTGTTCGACAATGACAAATTAAAGGCGATCCTGGAAGCTGATAATTCTCAATCTTCAGCTGAATAGCAGCATCTTACGACGTTAGCATCAACACAATATTAGTCCATTTGAATCAAATATGCAAGGTAAAAGATATTGCCAAATGGGTGCCCTACCGATCTCAATGATCGTCAGTGCGTAGTACTCTTCGAGACGTGCCTTGCACTGCTCAATAGGCACACAAGCGAAGGAATTTTGAAACGCATTGTTTCCTGCGACAAAAAATGGATTCTGTTTGACAATCGCAAGCGCAATGGAAAGTTGGTTGAATCCTGGTTCAGCAACTAAACAATGCCTTAAACGAAAACTTACCTCTAGATAAGTGATGGTTACTGTTTGGTGGTCTAACGCCGGTGTGATTAATCACAGCTTGATACCAAACGGGATAAGCATTACTGCAGATGTGTACTTTAAAGAACTGAACACAATCATGAAGAAGCTCACGTATATCCAACCAGCTTTAGTCAATCGCTCGCCCCCCTGTTCCTGCATGACAACGCGTGACCTAATAGTGAACAACAGACGGTCTCCAAGTAACAAGTTTACAGCTATAACCAAGAAGATTCTGCTGGCTCCTGGCTATTATCATACCCACTGGATGACATGGGGTAGTGACTATGCTTACACCGTCACTACTCGGTGAATTATGAGGTTGGGTGTATGTTATTTTTTCTAAAATTGTTTCCGCTTAGTACTGATCCTTCCAACAATTGGGGGGGGGGGGGGGGGGGGTTCAATTGAGTAATAGACCGGACATCAGCATCAAAATTGTCGTCTGTAACCAAAAAGATTTAAATATATATAAAAAATATATATATATATATATACTACTACACATTTAAATTTCTTTGTCTGTAACTTTTTCATATAGGATATATTTCCGATTTTTGTCATTTAGTCTTAGTGACATCGTCAAAAGGTCAAGATGCATTCGTGTCATAAATGTAAAAAATATTTTTAAAGAAAGTATACCCGGTTGTGCATTAAGGTATTGTAAGTCACGATATGGAGCAAAAATGAATGTGATTTCGGTGTATTATCGTAAGAATGTTGTATATTTACTAAATAATCTTTAAATTTTACTATTTCTCGTAGATTTATCTGGAACATTTATTATTGTTGAAATAAGCGCCCTCTGTTATCCAGTAACGTCACTATTTATTTAACAATGTGTTAGTGATTGACGCGTATCTATAACAGTTTTTCACTTTATATTTAATAGTGTCACCTAATGGGGAATACCTAAAATGTTTTCCAAATAAATATTCAGCGTAGTATTGCTTTGTTTCGCTAGAGGGCGTAACACACGCTTGAGTTCACAATTTTTGTACGCATATGCTCCCAATGCCCGTTCTATAGTATATATATAAATCTCCTTGGCCTTAAATATTTTATTTTAATATCTTTCGTTACAGCTTTCACAAACAATGTCGTATGTACCAATTTTCCTTCAGCGGAAAATACTACCGGTATACCCGAACGTGTTTTGCAAGGAAGTATATGGAGAGTAAGTTTTATCTTGCTTGATTGTTCTGGTTTTTCTACGTCACTGTACTTTATTTGAATTGCTATTGCTACTATATTATATATATTGCTAAAGCAATGGATCAGAATTCTAATAAAGTTATGCATGCATGCATCGTTTAAAAAAAACCTAGATTTATCTAGGTTTGTTTTAAATGATGCATGTTCTTAAAGATTTTTCCTCATTGCATCACACTGGACAAAATGAGTAGGCATAGATAATATTTTTAATGTATAGTATACGGGTGACAAACGAGCACACAGTTCACCTGATGGTAAGTAGATGCTGTGGCCCATACACATCTACATCTAGCTTCAATAAGGAATCAAAATGTAGATGCGTTATCACCTCTGAAGACTACGATGGAATGCCTCGTTTCCAGTAAAAGGGGTCTGCGGTTCTCTACACTCACCATACGAAACACGGCAGCATTAAGTTGCTAATTCACAATGGTATTCTGTGAAAACGTATCCTTCCCAGGTGGAGCCAAACCATTCATGCTACAACTATAAAATACCTGTTGTGTGCTTCTTCCACGTGTTTATATTATATTGGTGGGTAGTTACATGCGGGAAAGAGGACATGTTCGACGCCTGGTAACCTTTTTTATATCATTTTTTTCGACGCCTACGTTCTATTGTGGATTTGTGAACGGCTGTAATGATAATGATGAAGATGATGATAAGGGCAGTGTTAATTTACTGTGTTGGATTATTTATTAATTTTCGTTTCTAAAATACTTTTTGTACATACTATACTGAACGAAGTTTTACCTTCAACTGAACAGAATTCAATAGTAATAAACGATGAGTTTGAGACGTTTTCCTCAATTCTGTATTGGGTAAGTTTAAATTACTTTGTTCCTTTCCAGTAAGTTCATTTCTTCAACAATGTTTTGCGCTGGAACTATTACAACTGGGGAAGGAGCGTGTGCGGTGAGTTTTAGAATGGATTCTATAAAAATGACTACGGTTTCGTTTATATTACAGAAGCGATCAGCCACAGCTTCGCCTAGATTGGATCGATTAATGTGGCGTTATCTGGGTTAAAAATAATCAAAGACCAATTATTTTATCATTTTTTTATATCTTTGTATATAGCCTTGACCTCTCTAGGCATTGCTCTATGTGTTCATAAAGTTTCATCGTATTTGGTGAAGCAAATTCAGAAAATTATCCTGGACAGACTGGGAGACAAAATTTTTAAAAATTGGTATTTATGTCTTAATAATCTGCGAATGAGCCGTGGTAGCTCAGATGGTTAACGCTTGCTGTAAATATAACAGAACGCGAGTAACCCGGGTTCGATCCCCGACGGCACCAATGAAAATTTTAATTGCAATTTTAAGTGCTGATTTACTACGTGCGTGACGGTGAAGGAAAACATCGTAAGGAAACCCGCATGTCTGAAGAATAAGAGAAAAAAATATTTCGAAGACATGTGAAGTTCGCCAACACGCATTGCCATAAAACCCTCTCAGAAATGAGGGGAGGCCTGTGCCTAGAAGTGGGACGAGTATAGGCTGTAACTTTACTTTACTTTAACCTGAAAATAACCCCCGAGCTTAATAAAAAGCCAGCTATGTCATTATTACAAACAAACACTTCAATTAAACGGATCATAGATAAAGCCAATCTGTGTATTGCATCTGCGGCATGAATAGATCTACTCGACAGGAGAAAGATCACGCTCGCACAGAATCAACAATACCACAGCCCTTTCTCTGTATGTCTTACTAAGTCGTTACACTATTCAGTGGGCGGCCGCCTTACACTTCACTCACCAATACAAAGCTGCCAATCGAGAACCTTTCTTTTCTAACACTTATCGATTTTTATTATCGATCGACATCGATTCGATAGCTATTCGATACTATTTTAATCTGGTACTCTTGAACTGTATAAACTGATTTTCTCGAAACAGTGCCAAAAACACTTTATTAAGACTCGATTAAGACACCTTTCAAAGAAAAAAAAAAACTTATTCAAAATCGGTTCATCCGATCAGAAGCTATGATGGCACAGACGGACACACAGATACACATATACACACTACAAACTTATAACACCCCTCTGTTTTCATCGGGGGTTAAAAACGACATCCGACGTGCAAATGTTATAGTTACTTAGGTCTAACATATCATGTTGTAAAGTGCTCGAAACGTCGGTAATATAAAAATAAGTTAATAAACGCAATGAAATTTCAAGTAAAATTACATTTGTTTGTCACAGTAATTTAATTAATCATATGGGTAAATTTATTTTCAGCACGACGCCGGTGGCCCCGCAATAGTAGCTGGAAAATTAGTCGGGATTATCTCATTCGGTCCTTCGATTTGTGGGTTCCCTAATGCGCCGACCGTATTCACATTAGTCGGAGCCTTCGCTGATTGGATAGAGAAGATCAAAGAAACTGTATGTAGTTAACCGAATATGTAGAATAGATTAGATTAGAATCATTTTTATTCAATATACATTAAAAGAAACTTTTTACTTTTGCCGCCTGTTACGAAAAAAACTCTATCGTGGGAAAAAAACAGCAAGAAACCCAGCGGGACTTAAAAAAATCTATTTATAATTTACTACTTTACGCAATAGTCTAAATACTTAAGAAACAGCAACAACTCAATCATGTACCTCGCTTCGCGTCAACTGTAATTCCGAGAAAATCAGTGGATTCAACGAGACTAAGCTGCCCCCATATAAAAGCACACCGTTCAAAGCAAAGTGTATGCGCCCTCCTTTCTTCCCCTCCTCCATCTTCTCACGAAAAAAAAAAGCAAAGTGTACTACTTTTGAATATAGCATTATTCACTTTGTAATATTTAAATAGTTGTTTTTTAAGTCGGTAAATCAAACAATACGAAACAAGCACACAGCCCACCTGATGGTAAGTGAATGCTGTGACTCATAGACATCTACATTTATTCTCGATTAACAATCAATATACACATCAATACACAATATATAAAATTCTTATTATACTTAACTTAATGACATGTCATATCGCTGTGTAACCAATCCATCATGCCAATTCACCCCAAGGTTATCGTAAGAAGTAGCGTCGTATAGGAAATTATTTGAATCAGAAGTTACCTTGACGAAATTGATATAAAAGTTGTGGAAATTTATTATCTAAGAGAAATCTTGGTAATAATGAATCCTTATTTCTTACACATTTTTATGCAAAACCAAGGGAATTGCAGGTGCGTTGCCGGCCCTTTAGAAAGGAGTAAGCTCTTTTCTAGAAGGTCCCCAGGTAGTATCGGTCCGGAAAAATCTATTCCAAAGAGAGGTCGTACGCGGAAGAAAGCTCCTAGTGGAACGTACAGCGGTGGACCGCCAATCATCCAGATTGTGTGAATGGTATCAGGAGGTTTGCCGCGTAGTGCGTTCATAAAATTTGGCGACTGGGATTAATCAGAATAATTCTCAGAGCACGATTTGTAAATGTTGTAAAACGCGACTGAGGGAAACAAATCATTACAGAAGCCTAAAAACTCCTAAAAATAAAGAACTCTGCGGTTGCCAACCCACTTGCCCAGTGTGACGACTAAGACAAAGTATTCTCCCCATGAGCCAATCTCAAGGGAGGACAATGTTTAGCAGTGGACTTTAATGGACTGTAACGGTAACGGTATTTTTTATAGAATAAGCGTAGCAAACGAGCACACAGTCCACCTGATGGTAAATGGATGCTGTGGCCCATAGACGTCTACATTTATACTTGTATAAAAATTAAAACGCAGAAGCGTTGTTACCCCTAAGGCCTGGATAGAATGCCTCGTTTCCAGTAAAAAAAGGTCTCCGGATCTCTACACTCACCATACGAAACACAGCAGTATTACGCTGCTATTTGACGCTGGTATTCTGTGAGAGCGTGGTCCTCTCCCGGTTGAGCCGACCCATTCGTGCTACAACTATAATATAGCTGCAGCGTGGCTCTACCACGTATAAAATAAAAATAAATCGCACAGTGGTGGAGCGGCAATCATCCGGATGGTATGGATAGTATCGCGAGTTTATTCTACTTCTATTACATCATAAAACATATGTTTTTTTATTGAAATAATACTAATTTTTACGGAATTTATCGCGTATATTTAACTTTTTTACCCGACGTTTCATTTGTTCCCCAATTGCGAAAGTTGGGAGGTAAAAAGGAAATATATTATATCGATATAGTGATCTGTGTCAGACAGGTCAACTAAGAATTTTATCAAGAAATATTTTGTAGGATCTAATGTTCACAGAATAAAGGAAAATCACCCAATAATTCTAGTGATTGGGTCTCTTTTGGGTCTTCTTCTAGAAATTTGATTCTATTTACACGTGGTAGACTGGTAGAGCCACTATGAACATACACAATGAATGGGTCAGCTTGACAGGGATTAGACCAAGCTCTCGCAGAATACCAGCATAAAATAGCGGTTTAAAGCTGCTGTGTTTCATATGGTGAGTGTATATTAGCATATACAGGATTATTTTATTGCTTTTTTTATCTCTAATTCACAGATGCCAAGCTACTATATTGGGAAGAAGGGCACAACAACCCGCATCCCGTATGGTGAATACCAGCAAACGCAGCAGCAGCAGCGGTCGCAGTTTTATACACGGTTCACTTCGTCAGCTGGTATGAACGGGGTAGTCACCACCAGCGCCACGCTTGACCAGCCCACTCTGACCACTGAGACCGGTGCCTTACGGAGCAAGAAGTCTAAATTTGTTGATTTTACTTCCGGAGATGATACGAGTTCGGAGTAACTGGATATTTTATTTACTTACCCACAATATCCCTGGTCCCTGGTCCCACTTTCGTAATCTGTCGTAGGTTACACACAAATTTACTAGATAACAGGAATTTCTTTAACATGTCAGGAATTTAGGAATTATGTCAGAAAATCAGGAAAAAATTCATCATTTCATCAATGTCAGGCATTATTGAAACGGAAAGAGAGATCGAATATTTAAAATGACCCAATTGAATAAAATAATTTAATTGGTGTTATTTAATTATAAGAAAATTAGGAAATTTGCTGTTTAATCAGGGAATTTGTGAGGAGATCTAGGTTTTGGATGGACTTTTTCTGTCATGAAATTATCTGGTAACCTTTTCGAAGTCTTACACATATAATATCAAATCGATCACAATTTTCTTGGAGGAATTGCCACTGTGTGTATCCAGGATTATCTGACACGATCACATTTCCTCTTTTCTTGTAAGAAGCACTCTAATGCTTTTCCAGTTAAGGCTTTCTTTTAAACCGATCCGAGTCCAGTTTTAATACACTATTTCATGTCAGAACTATATGTAATAGTTGAGTTTAGTTTTTGTCACTGCAGCCTATCGAAGTCCTTTATTTTCCGTCCTTTATTTTTATATATTGAGATAAGGGTGACAAACGAGCACACAGTCTAACTGTTAAGTAGATGCTGTGGCCCATAGACATCTACATTTTTCCTCGATTAAGAATCAAAATGCAGATGCGTTTCACCCCCGATAACTAATATGGAATGCCTTGTTTCCAGTAAAATAGGCCTCCGGTTCACTACACTCACCATGGAAATCATAATAGCATTACGCTACTATTTTACGCTTGTATTCTGTGACAGCGTGGTCCTTCCCCGGTCGAGCCGACCCATTCGTGCTACAACCATAATATAGCTATATATAGCTATATATAGCTATAGCTGAACGTGACTCTAGCATGTGTATTACGTGTGTATTTGCCATAGTTTTTTTTTATAGGATAGGGTGACAAACGAGCACACAGTCCACCTGATGGTAAGTGGTTGCTGTGGCCCATAGACATCTACATCTATCCTCGATTACGAATCAAAATGCAGATGCGTTGTCACCCGTGAGGACTAAGATGGAATGCCTCGTTTCCAGTAAAAAGGGTCTCCGGTTCTCTACACTCACCATTCGAAACACAGCAGCATTAAGCTACTATTTGACGCCAGTATCCTGTGAGAGCGTGGTCTTTCCCCGGTCGAGTCGGCCCATTCGTGCTACAACTATACTACTAATATAACTGCAGCATGGCTCTACCACGTTTAAGTTTTAAAAGTTGCCACGCTTGACGGGCGGTTTAACCAGAGTTTTTAGTTTCGGGTTATTCCGTTTATCCACTCTAAGAAATCCACCCTAGTGGGGATGATCGGAATCGCGTGTTCGTTTATCCACCCCAGACGGGGTGGATAATCGGAATTCGTATATTATTTTTCTTCCGATTCCCCCCAACCCCAGGCTGTGTACAGTTGTTTATAAAAACATGATAGAAACTCGCCCAGGATTACATAACATAAACACTCACGCCTATCACCCAGAGGGGTAGGCAGAGACCACAGACTTCCATTTGGCACGATCCTGACACACATTTACGTGGTAGAGCCTATATGCTGCAGTTATATTAGTAGTATAGTTGTAGCACGAATGGGTCGGCTCGACCGGGGAAGGACCACGCTCTCACAGAATACCAGCGTGAAATAGTAGCTTAATGCTGCTGTATTTCGTATGGTGAGTGTAGAGAACCGGATACCCTTTTTACTGGAAACGAGGCATTCCATCTCAGTCCTCACGGGTGACAACGCATCTGCATTTTGATTTTTAATGGAGGATAGATGTAGATGTCTATGGGCCGCAGCAACTACTTACCATCAGGTGGACTGTGTGCTCGTTTATCACCCTATTCTATAAAAAAAAACCTCTCTCGTCTCCTTCACATCCATATACCTACGCATACATGCTCGTCGCTTAAGGGTACTCCTAATTTGGCCCGTTTTCAATAAATCGCCAATTTGGTCGATAAATTTTCGCCTAGGACGTCCCTTTCCGACTCTGCCATTCACTTCTGCAACATAAATTTTCTTTGTCACTCTTTCCACATGACCAAACCACCGAAGCATTCCTTTCTTAATCCTGCTCACAACATCATCTTGCAAACCACACTCTTGACTCAGGATTACTTAGTAGATATTAGCATACTTATAAAAACACATACTTGTACATATTTCTAGTTTAAAGGTTAAAACTGAAATACTTTTAATTGTTCAATGACATGTCATTTAGGAGATATCTTATGACAAAAGAAATGTTTTACTACAATTAATTTCAATTATATTTCAATACTTCAATAAAGTAGGTATTTATATTAAATAAATATTTTAAGATAAACACCTACTTACAGTTAAACACAGTATTGGAAATAGTACAATTTAACAAGTTTTAAAATGTTACTAAGAGACGAATTTATACACGATATACAATAATTACGTCTACTCAATAATGAACTAAAGACCGATTTACACTTCGACAAGTACAGTAGCGAGTTTAGTTACAGTGGCTACAGTCGTCGGCAGCACGAACGCTTATCTCTTACTCACGTGTACTCGATACTATATTGTAACTATATGTAAACAAACCTTGTGACTCAATATTAAAACGAACGAATGAAAAGGAATGATTACGTTTATAAATTGATATTATTGTAGGTGTAGAGTCATTTACTGTGTGTAAAAATAAGAAAAAGTATTGAAACTTATTAATAATAGTGTGTTAATTAATTTAAAACAGTTATTTACAAAATACTGCATGTATAATTATTTACGGAGGAACATTTTTATGTTTATAAAACCATGTTTCACGTCTTATGAATTGTGATTTCCGAACGCGACATTCTTAAGATAAACATATGACTTCGCGCTTCGTGTTGTTTTAATAGTTTTGTATTTTAGATTGGTTTTAGTTAATTTTTGCTGAATTTAATAATGATGTCGTCAAGAACTAGCCACACAGTTTACAATAATAGTAGATTTCATGTAAACGTAAGTAACTATATTAAAACATGAGTTTGGATTATTTTTCAGTCTGTGTATTCATTGCCTATTGATATTGATTCATTCTGTTAAACAAAGATTATTGTTTATTTCTAGGGAATGGTGATTAATAGAAAGTACAGAATTAGTGCACGGACTACAGTGGTGTATTCAAAAGTACGAAGAGCTACGTAATTTGCTCCACAGCCAAGGAATCGAAGTCTCGGAGTGAAAAAAGTAGCGAAAAGTAAGTTCTAGTTTTATTGTTCTAAAACCTTCAATACAAATCAAGAGCGCTTAGATAAAGTTTTAATTGCATAGTTCATTTCATGAATTTTGAGTTCACTGTCGTTTTATTTGGTTTGCTTAAGGATTGTGGAGTGATTTAAATAAAGAAGTGGCCAAAAATGAATAAAGCTGCTCATAGCATTCATTAAAAATATTTCTCACATACCAAGAGAACAGGGTGATTTAACATAAATAGAACTTTAGTAGAAATCAACTGACAAACTTTCACTTTAACATGATAATATAATGACTTTACACTTTCTCAATGAAAATATATAATTCAGAAAAAAAAATATGTATATTTGAATATAAATAACTTCAGTGTAAGACTCAGTGGTTACCTATACAAAATTAATAAAACAGTGATGCCTGCAGAGGTACATACAGATTTAATGATTATACCACCTGAAATTCCTGCTATTGGTATGTCTTCAACTACACATGATGTAAGTATCTACATTTTACTTAAATAAAATTACTTAATAATAATAATTTCATAATTTAAGTATTAGTTGTGTGTTAGCATAACTGTTTATTTGAAATTAAGACTAAAAAAATTAAATAAATAATAAGAATTACTTAAAATTCAAGTTATTCATTATATCTTTTAACCTTTAAATATTTCAACGATACAATAAGGAAATAACTATGAAAGAAATATAAAAAATTATGTAAAAACTTCAAGTTTTTCAATCGATCTTTTTCAGATGATGAAGACTAAAAACACTCCTGGCTGCAGCAAGGATCCAGTACTTATCTCCAACCAATCCGATTCCTAACGCAACCTACATCCCTAACACCTCCAGATCCCAGCAGCACTAAAATGTACTACACCGAAGAAATCTCCAACTGTTCTCAATAGGCAACCCACTTCCATTTTCGCGCCGTCAACCCAAAAAAAACATTCAGATCATTAGAATAATGTTATTTTTAAGTGAGAAGAACACAGAACGATAATAAGCAAAGGATGTTTGTAGAATTAGAACAAGAGAGGATTCGACAGAGAAGACGTTGAGCTTCGTTAACATGATACTGAGCTGCAGTTTCGAGCTGTGTGATAACATATATTATAATAATCTGTACTTTTTTATTGTCCATGTTTTAAATAAAATGTCTCCTTGAAATTGTTGAAGTACTTTTTTATTAGAATTTAATATTAATACCGATTTATATAGAAAACACTTATCATCTAAAGTCGTAATCCCAAAAAAACAAGTCAAAACATAAATTCAAACTCTGTATTAATTCGTTCAAGCTCTGTACATATACAACACAGTAGAGAATCAAATTTTAGTTTCAATAGAAACAGAAATAATTTTTTTTTAATTCAATATATATTATTAATAGTACTTATTCAAAGTCATTCTTATGTTTAATTTACCCCTATTTCGGAAGAAACCTGTGTCCAGGGATGAATTAGCACAAAACCCTGCTGGAAATTAAAAACAAAATGTTTACAATCATGTATTATGTTGTTTTATAATTAAATATACAAATAATATTGGAAATAGTTTAGTAGCGACTATCTCATTCCCAGGGGTTATTGTCATCCATAAATTTCTTAATACATATTATATTCATATGTGGTAGAGCCATGCTGCAGTTATATTAGATGTATAGTTGTAGCACGAATGGGTCGGCTCGACCGGGGAAGGACC